CTTTGCTTGCCAATTGGAAATTGAACTACGCTTAGAGGTGCTTTTGATCAAGCATGAATTAAATTATGGAATTGAAGCATAGAATTTATATAATATTCTTATAGTATTGAAGCATGAAATTTAAAAACCATATAGGAATTGGAATCCTATAATCAAATAGGAACGTAAAGAAGCATATATGTAAGGCGTGGTATTATATTATGTATTTTACAGTGGAAACCATGGCACTAAGAAGAATAACAGTTTTGTTCTATTTCAATCTTCATGCTAGTGTTTTGGTTGAATTGATTTACCATGTGCCACTGATGATCTCAATTTTTGTAAGCATGCTATATTTGTTCTGACCTTACTGAAGAGGTCCCTCCGATTAGCAAGCAGAACGAAGTCATCTACCAAAGCAAAATGGTTTGTTTCATTGACTTTGATTTCCATAATGGTTTATGGTATTTTGGTTGATATATATTTGGGTTGATCCCTGAAAGCTTAAATTGGTAATAAGATAAGATATAATTGCATGAGTGATGTACTAATTATTGTAGAGTATGTACATACATTGATTACCATGTATCGGTTAAGTATGTCATGAATATGGATCCAATTATTATATATTTTGGCAATACGTATCTAAATGGGCATATGCTTATTGAATAAGAACTAATATTATTTTCCATGAATTGCATTCTATATGAATTGCTACGAGTGATACGTTAATGTGACAAGAAACAATTGTATAAGTGCCAGCAATTGTTGGATCAAGCAAGTATATATAATTTTCTAAAGCCAATTATGTATCTACAGTTCGCATAGCATGTATATGTATTTACATTTGTTCTAACCTTGCATTGGAGAATTTCTTAAGATTCCTCAGTGGAACAAGTCCAATGAAGAGGTTCGTATTACATCGGTATATGAAATTCTGGTATGATCTTTCCTTTTGGTCTTCCTGATAAATTATATAAGGAATGGTTATGTTGGATTCATGAAGTGTTATATTGTTCTTGCAAAATCCAACCATCTCGTGATGTCTTTCTGATTGTAGGAGACATAATTAGTCATATCCTATAATTTATCAATACTATTGGGATATGTTATGCCTATGATTGTAACAACATATATTACAATAGTGTTGCAGGGAAGCATACGCTAAGTTTTATACATGCCAACTATATACATGTATGTTAATGAATTTGATAAAATTCCCATACATGAAAGTAAGTCATACAGATTTTGGCAACATTTGTTAAGCAAATGGCGTGTATAGTGTTGCTTGTATGGCTAATTTGGTTCGAGCATGAGATTACATATTTTCAATTTTGTCGTGGGTTTTGGACTATAGTGAATTGTAGTTTTGTTTCCACTAATTTTCACAAGATGAGAATGAACTTTTATGCCATTAATAGCACAAGAAATATGCATGACTAATCAATCAGGTTTGTCTACAATTTGCTTTCTTATCTCAATAGTCATTTAAATTATACATGACTAGTTAACTATAAAAATTGATGTATAATTTGTGGATTGACTGAGAATGACAGAAAGCATCCAGTGACAAGAACAAGGGTATTATACAAATGAATAAGGTTTGTAGTAGTTATGTGACAGTTCTCATTTGTATTTTTATTCTTATATGAGAATTTTGGTTGGTCATGTGATTATATATATGTTTACAAAGAAGTGGTGAACATATGAAGGCATGAGGTATGTAATCCATTCAAAGTATGTGGCTTAATTGACAAGCATGAATTTTCAAACATGTATTATTATTTGTGGTTTTTCCTATGCCTAAAGAATTTAAACAGTGCTTTGATTAGTAGTTTTTATATGCCATAAGGGGAGAAGAAAAGAAACTTTTCAAGGCTAATGTAGGGCATTTATTGGAAATGTTTTCTATGGAAGAAAATAATTTTGGTTCCTTTTATTTAATTTGGTATTTACAAGGCTAATGCACGATTTTGATGCTAATGTTTTAGGAGCCTTGTACTACAGAAAGAAAGGTACAAAAGAAAAGGAACCTGTTTTGACTTAAGCAAACATTTGAGTGATTTAGCTTTTAAATTAAAGGAATGTATTGTTCTCTCACATTACATAAAGTATTTCTAATTGACTCTGTAATGATAAGTATTGACATTCTTGTGGTGAAAACTTGTTCTATATGTGATTAATCTCCTTCAAGTTTGTTGTCAGGTTTTTGGGATTAATTTAATATCAAAGGGAGTCATGAAGGAATTAGTGTCATTTGTTGGCAAGACTCGAAGCTCGAATCATGTTATCATAATTTTGTCACTTACAGTTAATTAATCCATGTGACTTCTTGTATTGTTTCAGGGCGGAGTTGACCAATGCCTTTTCAACTAAGCGAGATGCAACGGTTTAGTTGACAATGGGACTATGTTTTTGAGTTACTTCGGTCAACTTTGCATCTTAATTAGAATAAAAGGGATAATCTTCTTGCCTACAGGTGTGGATTACTTCTTTTAGTTTAATTCAGATGGCATAGTATGGGTTTTATTTCACCGAAGTTGTGAAAATCTTCATCTTGCCTACAGGTGTTGAAGTTTTTTTCATGAAGGTACTTTTGTGACATAAAATCTAGTACTAGAAACTAGTTAATTTTCTTGCCTACAGGTGTAAATTAATTTAGTTTCATGAAGTTTATTGGGATAAAGTTCCATGCCATTAGTGACAAATATTTCCACAATGAGCCCCATAAAAGGTTATGGGTTGAAGGGATGGAACTCGGTTGCATCATGACGTATTTTGTGTCTCTTCATGAGACTTGTTGATGCAAAGTATTGGACCCATGAAGGTTAATCAAGGATTGCTAAGGTACTCATTGTTTAAATCTTATGCTTGTAAATCTTTTCAATTTGAACTATGATGTCGGTTTAGAGGATGAAATTTGACTACTAAAGTTTCCTTTGGACATTGAAATTGAAATGATATGCAATTGAATTTGTTATGGATGCATAAATTCATGATAGATACACATAATTGTTTCTGGCAGATTATGTGTCTTGATTTAAATTGGGTAAATTACACGTCTAATGGTCACCAAATGACATGAATTTTGCATATGTTCAACATATAGATGTCTACTATGTGTCTGAAAATTTTCGTAATTTTTTGCCATGTATTTTAATTATGGTGAATTTACTAGTAACCCATGCTCGTATAGGCAGTCTTACTGGCAGATTGTGTTGGTCTTTTTGAGACGTGACTTTAGACTACTATTTTGACCCAAAACGGCTCTATATTTTATTTTTTGAAGATTAGTATGTCTATTTTGATCAGTATAACTTTGGTAGCAATGAAGCTTGTAAATTAATTATGATAAATTATAAAGTAAGTGTAACTCATTGCTGAAATTCTGTTTGAGAACTTTATGTTGGTTGAGATGTCTATTTTATTATGTCTAAAATATAGAGAAATTTTCTTTAGGTACATCTCTGAAAGAATATATTAATGAGTGTTTGCCCAAGTGGGAGAATTAGTGAACGAAAATTGGGTTTCACACTCATTAACTTATTTGCAAGTATAAACTTTGAAAACTTAGTGGGAGTTTTTGAGCATTAAGCAGATTTGCATGAATTTATTAAAGCATTATTCTATCTTCCATGTATTTGTGTTACTCGAATAATAATAATATGTTTAAGTTGCACAAATGGCTACTTAGTATATGCGTACATTTTTCTGTTACTTGCAATCATTTGGATTTCTTGGTTGATCATTCGTTTTGAGGCTCATAAGGACTTAGCATAAATGTGGACTTATTAATACATATAAGATGGTTGGTGGATGCATGTTTTTGTGTAACAGTGATGAATGCTTTCATGCTTAATTGTAACTTTCATTGAGGTAATATGCATTCATTGACTAAGTAAGGCTATTCCCAAAGGCATATTTTCAAAAATATGATTAAAGTATTGATTTGCAAATTAAGTGATGATGTTGCAGATCAGTGGGAGTATGAGTTTCGTGTTAGTAATGCCTTACATTTGCAGATGACCTATAAGGTATGTATAGAATCCATGTATTCATTTTAATCTCCAGTTGGATTCATTAAGTCACATTTTTCGTGTGTTAGTCAATTATCTGATGAAATATATATCAGATGTCAAGTTGTTATCAAATTGCATATTAATTGTCATGACATGGTTTATGTACTACCTCAGTTGTGAGGATTTCCATCTTGCCTGCAGGTGTTGGAAATCACTATGAAAGTAACTGGTTTGGTGCATAGATCAGTGTCAAAAACATATTAATTCATCTTGCTCACAAGTGTTGAATTAATTTGTTTTATGAAGTTTTTGGGATATTTTACTTGGACATGTGCCTATTTGGTATTTTCAGTTGTGTCCGTTGGCTACAAACATTGTTTGTATTATTACTGATCTAATGAAAGTGATGCATGATTGTTTTTGAGATGTATTCAGACCTACAGGTTATGGGGGCTTCATTAGATGAAGGATATCTGCATTGGCAGATTTAAGGCTTCGAAGAAGCTTAAAGTGTAACTTGTGAGTTACAATAAGGTGGACCTGAGATGATATAAAGTAAGACATTTTGGTTAATTTAAAGTTTAATTTGAAGTTTCATCTCTTGATCATAATTTGTGTTTCATGTGAATGAGGATCTTAGCATGTGTGATTATGAAGGTTCTGGGTTGTGTCAACCCTACAACCTTGTTAGTTCCATGTTAAGAAATGCATTTGACAGAAATTGCATTAAGGACGAGTTGTAATCACTCTTACATGGCCACTAAAGTGACATTAGTCTCCAATCTCAAGTATAAACATGAATATTACATTTTGTAGACCAAGTGGGAAAATGTTGGATTTAACCAATATAAATCAACCTTTAAGTGGTCTACTACATGTAATAGGAATGTAATATTGGAGAATAATGCTAATTGTGATTTGATCTCTTAAAGATATCAATCCTATATAAGGTGTCTTATATTGGAAATATGATTGATGAAATCCTTAATTGAATATGATTATGATACTTGACTTGGAGGCTAATAAAGTAAGTTTAGGTTTCCTTTATGGATGGAAACCCTAGCTTTTAGCCTATATAAAAACACCGGTCCCTATAAGCCCTAGAACACACAACATAATGCTTCCCATAGAGTAGTTGTATTCCGCTAGGAGTTTATAGAAGATCTTGGTGTTGCCATGCCCTGCCTGTTTTTGTGTTCGACTTCCATGGCCGCCGTTGGAATCAGGTCAGTGACTCCTTTGATTGTGTTTTAATTGTATAATCTTATAAGGCTAACAAGAGAGGCTTATATTTTGGTCCTAGGTTTCTATGAGCTCTCGGCAAAATCAATACACAATTAGGATAGAAGAAAAACCTGAGTTTCAAGAAATCAGTCATATTGTATGGTGATTGCTCTCAGTTTTGTTCTGTTTCTATTTCAATTGCTGCATACAGTGTGTAGGTGGGCAATATACTCCTTTGGTGTGTGAAAAAAAATAGAAAGAATTCTGCTTATGAAAAAAACCAGAAATTTTGGTTCATTCGAAAATAGGATATAACCTTGTTTGTAGGAAATTTAAAACAACCAAGTGCTTGAATTTTGATGCTCTTGTACTCTATACTTTTTAACACTTCAACTTTCTGAGATTAATCTGCATTCTCTTTTGCTTGCACTATGTTGGCTCCAAAGCATGCAGATTTCAGTAAAAGAAGATAAATAGAAAAAGGAGTCTGTATTGTTATCGGTTAACCGCAAGCATTCAGATTACTCATCCTTTAAGCCTGAGAAACGACAAGTGGAGAAAACTGTTCAAACTGTTTTAGCAACTGTCAGTGAAAGTTGGTCACTGCAAATGCTTGAAGTGGCTGAGATCTATAAATCAAGTGTACATGTCAATCTCATATTATAGCTTCTGTTGGGGTTGACACAGGAAAGCTTTATTGTGCTTCAGATGCCACGATATTGTGTTTACATATGTTGAAAAAGAGAACCTGGTTAAGCCGACAGATAAATCCATTGTGGTGTTGGATCCAATATTATGTGATGTACTATTCAAGGGAGCCATAAAAAAAAAGGTACAACGTACGCAACATAAATTCATAAGGGAGACTTAGGAGCAGCAATTGTAAACAGGATGCATGCCATCACGTTTTGACAAACTTTCTTCAATAGTGATAAATTCACGTTGCCAATTTTTGTTGTCTGGAAATAGTTTGTGATGTTTCAAGAATTCTTTCCTAGGTTTTCTTATGAACGAATGTTTCTCTTTTCCAGTAAGAAGGGGCATGAGGTTCAAGTTCAAGGTGGCGTGATTGTTGATCTCGCATAGCATATGAATGAACAATATGAGATCCCAAAGAAATACATAGAGGTTCTTGAGAAAACCAGGAGATGAGAGGTTGAGAGAGGTTAGTTATACTTGATTCTTCTTGATGGTAGTAAGAGATGTAGGGCAAAGCATTCTTATTAATATCTTGATTCAGTCTCTAGAAGCCTGTTAGTTATGCTTGTGCTTTTGTTATAATTAGGAGATAGTGGAAAGGAAAATGGAGATGGTAACAAAAAGAGGAGAAAATATAATAATACAAAAAAGTAGTTTTTAATGTAAAAAAATAAAAAGGAATTGTACATTTTAAATTTAATTTTATCTATTCTTCTTCCTTCTCATTTTATCTATTTTCTTCCCTTTTCGTCCTCACTTCTTTGTGTCTACTTTCATCTTTCTCACATTTCCCCTTGATTAATAAGTAATTTATTGATGCGCCCTTTGAATTGTGATCGGTAGACCCATCTCCCCTTTGCCTTTATTGCTTTGTTGGTATAACCTATATATCATACGTGATGTGTGATTTGGTCTTTTGTTTTTCTGTTGTATGATTATTTGGAGTATGTGTTGTCCATCTAAATGTGATGCCACCTACGGTTTAGTACACGTATAAATTTGATATGCATTATCCTATGATAATGATGAAGTGCTCAATCAGTGATCCTTGTTATTACACGAACCAAAAACAGTTGACAATGATTTGTATTGGTACTGGTCAGCTATCATTTGTCCTAGGCATTGAATGAACTCATGGGTCTTGTAGTCTTCTATAGATAGATCTGCAACCATTGGTATTTAACTTCAACAGAAGACGTTTGATCGAAAATTTCATTTTTGTCCTATTCAGTTAAGTTCAAACTGAGCCATTGCATATGTTATACTTTTCTGAAGTTTGTGTTTAAGAAAAACCAAGTTCAAAGCTGTTTTTGAAATTACGGATGTGATTTATTATCCAAGATTCAATGAGTTGTAAATTTCGAAATTTAATTCAGCAATCAAAATTGTAGTTGTTGTAGTTATCTTTTTCTTTTCTGAAAGAACCTAGGAGAAGTAGCACCAGGAATTGTACTAAAATCTTGCTCTTTCAGGTACTATTCTGAAGGGAAGGGGATTCACATTGGAAGCCTTGTGCAAAGCAATGTCCCATCCCATAGATGATAACCAGTTACCTGAGGGTTTAATTTCTTTATCGAAATTATATGTGGAAAGATAGGAGGAGGTATCATCCAACTTTCAACTTTGACAACCTTGTGCAATACTTAAGTTATTTGTTTTCTTGTTGTCGAGACCTGAGAGCACATACTTTTAGCTTAATAACCGTAGCATAGTGTTTCGAAAACGACCTTTGGAGTTGTATATACCCTCCAAAAACGAACCAATAGAAGAAAGCTATAATTTTTGGTAATTTCATCTCTCATATCATATGTTTGCACTTTTATCAGGTGTTGGAATTAAAATTTAGAAGGTGAGACGGTTTTCTGTTATTAACTTACTCTACATGTTTGCATGACTACTGCTGCTTAATCAAGATATATAGTTGTTGACCCTAAAAACTACCAAGCCTAGGTGGCCCGCAGGCCGAGTAATCTATGAGCTAACTACGTCCTTCTGTTGAATGCGGGGCCTGCCAACAAGTCGGCCGAGCTCAGCCGAGGAGTAAAATATGTTGATGTTGCGTTGGGTGCGCGGCCAATTTCTGCGTTTTGCGATTGTGACCGAGGAAGGAACACGTCTCGGCCTCTTAGGTTCTCGAACCTAAAGACAAGGCTACTATTCTTACGAAGTTCACAAATCGTCGTCGTCGAATTCGGTCACAGTGATAGTATTCGTCAGAGTAAACTCACGCCGAATCGACACCAAAGTGTAAGGGCATAAATACTCAAAGCGAATATAAGTCTTAACAGTAAACGTGGTTCGGTCGTTGGAATGCAGAACTCTAAATCCCACTTATGAGTATCCAATCATAAAATAACTCGGCGTGCAATGTGCCGAGCCGAATAAACTGTAACACCTCACTTCGCCGAGAAGACTGATGAGATGATCTCAACCAACAAGGACTCGGAAATCCTTCTCGATCGAGACTTGGATAGATAACCAGTCACCCTCGACGCAATGTTGTTTATCCAAATTGAAGATGCTGCGAGGTCGGCTGATTCTATGGCGACAGTGCTATCTATGCCGACTGAAGATATCACCGGTTGCCTTCACAGTGCTGTTTATCCAAACTGAAGGTGTGTCGGCGAAAAGAGAAAAGGAAAAATCCTCAAGGTTGTTGACAAAATTTGCGCAAGGCAGTTGTGTGTTGAATTGAAGGGGCTTGTTTCGATGTCTTCCCTCCCTATTTATAGCGGCCAACCTGTATTGAATCCTAATCACTCCCGGATTAAAACTCCTTCTCATTATCCAATTTCATTTCAGCCAATCCTATTCCTACGAGGACTCCAAACGTAACTCGTTATCAGACCGTATTCAATCTTAGCATCCTGATCCCATCGAGACTCCCTCTCACAACAGGACCCGTCCACATTCCACTTTCCGATTGGATATGGCCAATTTCGACCATGCGGCCTATGGGCTAAATATCTCCCATCGACACCTGTACACAACTTCTGGGCCGAGAGAGGATTTAAACCCGGCCTATCCAACACTGAGCCGAGTTAACTTTAACTCGGCCCAAACAATATTTTGGGCCCAAACAATAGCTCTCTTGGCTCTCTCCAATGATCCTTGACAACTGCTGCTTAATCAATTGAAACTGCACGAAATTAATCCCTGAGTTGCTCAGTCAACGCGAAACACTCTTCCAACTCCAGATGGGAGTAGATGTGTGAATTGCATTTATATAAATAAAACAGCAACTCAGCTTCTTTCCCACTTTTCTTCAACCCCTCGTAGTACCTCTTTTGTCACTTTTGCAACGGATCAAATCCTCCAACGAAAACCGTTGTCGCGGGCTGGTCATGGTGCCATCCCATAGGCAAAAACAACCTCCACATCCAGTCCGAACGCTCCA